CTGTACGTCTGTTGTTACTTCTTAGAGTAAATCTGAATCGTCTGTAAAGAGTATAGTGTACCATTGAACTTCAGTCCAGTTAACATGTTCTCTTGTTGTTTAATCGCTCTCTCCTGTAACGAGTAGTAAGGAGTATGCAATGTTCAGGTTGGTGAGTTGAAAGCATAAAACCTTTTGTGTATTGTAGAAATTGATACCGTAGACTCTGTAGCTGCACGAAGTTTAGACCGTGAAGATGTGTTATATGGCATTATCGTAGAGTGGTTAGGGGCAGATACCCTTCTTCATTTGTTGTTGTAAGCCAGGGCGAAAACGATCTTCTAGAAGATCTTCTGGCAACATTTCTAGTCTGTGAAAAGCAACGACAAAGCCTATGAACTACTGATGGATAACATTGAACCAACTTGCCACTTGTGCTTGTGACTGTCTGCTTCGTGTCTGCCGATCGCTCTCCACCTTAAACTGTCAGATATGTGTTGATCTTCCATTTGAAACTTTAAAGTCGTTTTAGAAATGTAAGAAAACTTTTTGTAGCACACAGGATAAACAGCAGAATTTAATTATCTATATCGGCTGATAAGGTACTGTACAGTACAGTATATGTAATCATACCTGTGTTGACAAATCGTTTGATACAAAATTATAGCAGAAATACAATATAATAGAAATGCACCTCATAATCTGGAACCAACCAACCCACTTTATCGGGAATCAAAGAAAATTACGAAATTCACTTTAATTACAATATTTTTGTTGTGTAACTCTTAACATTTTTCAATCAATAGCTATTAAAAATTGTTTTCACCTCGCAAACATGTTTCGTTTACATAACAAGACTGTATAAAAGCTATTTTGTTATTTTTTTTTAATACAATACAATTTACGATTATTGAAGTTTTCTTTTCTTTTTAATCCAGTAAATATATTGCCTTGCTCATGAAGAACTATATTTTATTTAAAACAGCCCATTTTAAATACAAGATTATAAAACTTTTTAACTTTTTAAATTTGTTCTTATTGGATTCTAATATTCAAATTGCAGACCTATAAATTCCCACTGTCGTCCTTCTGTTTGCCTGTTTCTTCCTTAATCTCGAGAATAAAAATAGAGACCAGTTATGGAAAGCGTAGGGGTCGGGTACCCCGATTAATTGTATACGAAATTCTGATCTGGACTGGAAGCACGCGAGTTTTTAAATTAAAATACGATAAAGAAATTGGAGTCCAGCATTGTACAGTACCAAAATTAATTGCTCGTCAATGATTAAATGATGTCAAATTTGTCGGGTTTATGTAGAAATGATTAATACGTAACTAAATTTCATTTTAAGTAAAGAAAATTTTTATTTAAAAATTTGCGAATTAATTAATTAATTTGGTCTCTGAAACGAATTTCTTATCTTAAAAAAATTACATTTAGAATTTTCCAAAACTAATAAGACTTCTCATTAACGAAATTAAATTACACGCATAACTGTAAACAAACTAAAAGTAATAAATTCAAATTAATGATTACATATAAAAAATATAAACTGTATCTTAAATATCTTTAATGTATTATTCAAATTAATCTTATTCACAACCTTAAATTTCATTGACTTATATCACTTAAGAAATTTTCTTTAAAATTATTAGATTTATTAACATATGCTTATTAATGAAAATAATAAACAGATATGAAGTTGTTAATGTATTTTTATTCACACCAAATATTTTTTATATATGTACAGTACGAAGTATATGATTTATTTGATAGACATACTGTATCTAATGATATATATATATGTATATATCACTAGATACAGTATGTAACATGTTCACAAAAATTTATAAGAAATTCAGCAAATGTTTTACATAAGACAATCGAAATAATGACAATTCAGTTTCTATCAAAATATTCTTAAACAAATTCCATTGATAAATTGATAAAACAAAACAGAAAAATATTACTGAATAATAGCAAAAGAATAGGTGGAATAAACCATTTTAAAAATGATATTTAGATCTGTCGAGAATATTTATTTCTCTGTCAGAAATATGAACTTGAAATATTTATGACTATACAAATACGTTTAAACAAATTATTTGTGGATTTGTTTTAAAATTTAATATTTTATCAAACGTTTTATGTATTTAAAATTTTCAATAGAATAGCGTCCATGCAATAGCTTTATTAACTATATATTAAAAGTACTTAATTTTTTTAAAAGGCAACTACATGTTAAACATGGTAGGAAATTAAATTTCGAAATTTAATATGGAGTACTGAGAAATTTTTTGTAGACCTACATACGATATCCCGTATCACGAAATCACGGGTCATAACAATATCCTAATTTTTCATTATTCAGAATTGTAGTTCATAGTCAAATCCTGATTATAATCATTGTTATATCTAATTTTTTTTTATTTTACAGAGGAAAATCACTATTAATTTCCGGTCGTAATATAGAATTTTGTATTATTAAATTTCTGAAAATGAAGTACTTTTGCGTAAACTGAAAGCAATATCTGAACATAGCATATGAATAATAATATTAGTTTTAAATCAGCCGAAAGCTAAGCTTAAACAACTTTGTCTTGATCATTAAGCGTTTTCATTATTAAACACATAATACTCTCGTAATCCACAAAAATCAATAATTCGATCATATCCTTGAGTTAATATAACCAATTTTTTAACAACAGGCTTAGCTGTAACAGTCAAACCGAATTATGTATCGAATTTAGAGATGATAAATACAGTAAATATAAGGAAAAATAAATAATCAAATAACGAAGGCAAGCGCATTCAGTTTTGTTTAGAAAAATTTTAAATTAAAATTAAAACCTGATATAAAAACCTTAAAAATGACATTGATCTACTAGTAATTGTTCAAATTTATGTTTTCATTACGATATTAAAGAATTTATCAACATTTAAACAAAATTATCTTATCGCGTCATATAGCGTGGTAAACCACGCTATGATCACTGTTTATCTCATTCTGTTGCAATATATGCGAGGATTTTTCGAAATTTCCGATTTACACAATTGTAATTATAAACAGATATCCGATATTTGTTTAATTGAAGAAAGATAATGAAATATTACAATAGGCATTTAATTGATTTAGTTAAAATAAGCGCCAAAAAGTATATGACACAGTTTCATTTTTGAAAAGTTTTCCAAACTTTTCTACCGTACATTAATTTTATTTATTAATAATATTTTAACCTTTAAAGTATTGATATTTCTAGAATTAAATTTAAAATATTCTAGAATATTTTTAATAATCATTTTTTGATGTTTAATATCGCCACAGGAAGCGTCCGGAAGCTTCAGCTTCTGCTACTTAAAAGTACAATTTCCAAGGTCTATCAATAATTTATAGCAATTTAAACTTAAATTGTTGTTGTGTGAGCATAAATTCATCGCTGGATAAAATATCTTATTGTCGGTGATATTCATTATAAAAGCTTTTGATAAATATGCTTGAGTATCAAAAAATATTCAAGATATAAAGTAAGAGAAACAAAATCTTTTGATATTTTATCTTAAATACTCCACAAAGTAAATTTTTCAGTTAGTAAACCATATTATACTATCCGTTTTTTCTATTAAATATATAATTTAAATACCACATTCTACACTATTGACTTTATTTTATTAAATAAAAATTATATATAAAGTATAAACCAATTAAAAACAAGAAATTTTCCTAAATCATTAAGGTANATTTTATAAAACATGCTAGTTTAAAAGATTATATGTCTAGCAGCTGCTTCGAGAATTAGAATTGTTACAGCAAGTTTTATTAAAGACAATAGCAATTTTCCTAGATTATTGCATCACCTTAAACTTGTGTCATTTAAAAACCAGTTCGAAGAATTTAAAGGAAAAAGACATATATTACTTACATTTTATTTTTTTTTATCGTAAATTTTACTTTAAAATGTAAAATATACATTTTTTCGTATATATATATTCGAAAATTAATTTTAAAATATTTAACATCACGAATTTAGTTAATTTTCGAAATTTTAATTACGAAAGTTAATTTTAATTATATTAAAAAATGTATTATAGTTTAAACGACGTCATCGACGATTAGCCAATGACAGAAGTTCGTTCCGTCTTTATATTTTCAGACGCTCACTTGTTGCAACAGTCGAGCGACGATCGGGGCGACACCAAACGACGCAAAGTTAGCAGACGACATTCGGCTTCCTGCATCGATTCGAAGAATGTCGGAATCTTACAGATCTCATTTGTTGAGTCCCGCTAAAAACTTTCACTCGGAGATGAATCATCAATCCATTAAACCCATATTAAACGGACGATCGTCTAATCAGCACTTTCACGACGATTACGAACCCGTTTACGAGGATGAAACGTTGATGAACAAAATTGCCGAATTGTCTCGAGCTTATCGTCTGCTTCTAAGTAGCATCGGAGAGAATCCCGATCGCCAAGGTTTACTTAAAACACCGGAAAGAGCGGCTAAAGCCATGCTATTTTTTACTAAAGGCTACAATCAGAAGCTTTCTGGTAAGTTTATCTTTTTTTTTTTCTTTATTTATAATACGTCTTCTACTGTGTAAATCGACTATAAACACTTGTCAATTGAATATATTTCCTGGAATAATGTGTTACATTTATCGTTATAAATAGCCTACAGTAATATAGCAAAACCTGTCTAAAACGGAAACCTTCTAAACTGGTTATCGTGCGATTCCGGTTTACACAGGTTTTACTGTATATATATCTGTATATACATATATAGCCTATATATATATATATATATATATACAGTAAAACCTGTGTAAACCGGAATCGCACGATAACCAGTTTAGAAGGTTTCCGTTTTAGACAGGTTTTGCTATATTACTGTAGGCTATTTATAACGATAAATGTAACACATTATTCCAGGAAATATATTCAATTGACAAGTGTTTATAGTCGATTTACACAGTAGAAGACGTATTATAAATAAAGAAAAAAAAAAAGATAAACTTACCAGAAAGCTTCTGATTGTAGCCTTTAGTAAAAAATAGCATGGCTTTAGCCGCTCTTTCCGGTGTTTTAAGTAAACCTTGGCGATCGGGATTCTCTCCGATGCTACTTAGAAGCAGACGATAAGCTCGAGACAATTCGGCAATTTTGTTCATCAACGTTTCATCCTCGTAAACGGGTTCGTAATCGTCGTGAAAGTGCTGATTAGATGATCGTCCGTTTAATATGGGTTTAATGGATTGATGATTCATCTCCGAGTGAAAGTTTTTAGCGGGACTCAACAAATGAGATCTGTAAGATTCCGACATTCTTCGAATCGATGCAGGAAGCCGAATGTCGTCTGCTAACTTTGCGTCGTTTGGTGTCGCCCCGATCGTCGCTCGACTGTTGCAACAAGTGAGCGTCTGAAAATATAAAGACGGAACGAACTTCTGTCATTGGCTAATCGTCGATGACGTCGTTTAAACTATAATACATTTTTTAATATAATTAAAATTAACTTTCGTAATTAAAATTTCGAAAATTAACTAAATTCGTGATGTTAAATATTTTAAAATTAATTTTCGAATATATATATACGAAAAAATGTATATTTTACATTTTAAAGTAAAATTTACGATAAAAAAAAATAAAATGTAAGTAATATATGTCTTTTTCCTTTAAATTCTTCGAACTGGTTTTTAAATGACACAAGTTTAAGGTGATGCAATAATCTAGGAAAATTGCTATTGTCTTTAATAAAACTTGCTGTAACAATTCTAATTCTCGAAGCAGCTGCTAGACATATAATCTTTTAAACTAGCATGTTTTATAAAATAAAATAAGCTAAAATTTTAAGCTAGCATGTTTTATAAAATAAAATAAAATAAAGTTAACTTNACGTGCGATAAATAGTTTCTGTATCAACCTACCTTATTTCCACGATATTTTTAGAAAAATAATATCCAAGTAATTTTCGCAGGCAAAATATTCAAAAAACAATAAACGCATTAATGCAAAAATCAGTTTTACTTCCTTTTTCGATTCCGCGATTGTAATGAAATCGTATAATGAGAAAAAATAATAAAATCGTTTCATTATTAATTAATAATTTTTCTTATTGTACTTAATTAATTAAGAAAATATTAAATATTAAAAAATACAATATTTTTAAAGTTAAAATAAGATTAAACTAACGAAAAGCAAAGTGATGGAGAGATACGACGCGCTTATATATTGGTGACGTAATACACGTAACTGAGGAGCGAACGAAAAGAACCGAGTCGAATTAATTAAGTCGGAAAAGAGAAAGTGTGCATTATAATGGAGAAAATGCGAGTATTGTATTAATCTTTAAAGTATTGGTGTTAAATCTGTCTTATAATATGACGACTCCTGTATGTCGGGACTCCTGTAAGAATAAAATACAATACCAATATAGCCCTATCGTTGAAAAAATTCGCTTACTTTTGTTCACCTCGAGTTTTGCTTAGTAGAAATGGCTAAAAAGTGCGCAAAATACGTACGGAAATACGGTATTACAGTACTACCTGTATTGGACGACCACCTGTCTAAAAGACCACTTTTTGAAGGAACCGTGGGTGGTCGCTATAGACAGGTTTTACTGTATATATATTTAATTTAAAAGAAAATGAAATCTGATCCCTGATTATAATATTGCTGCTTTAAAAGTAATTTTCTTTCTGACAATATATACATAAAACATTTTATGTAAGAGATTTATTAATTATATATTTATAATTATATTAAAAATAAAATTACAGTCAAACCTTTGAATAACGGCCACCGAACAACATTTAAAATGGCCGCTGTTTACATATGGCCGTTATTAGAGGCCGACTGTTATGACTATAATATACAGTCATATCATAATTTTTATATTTATATAAAAAATCAAAAAATTATATCAAAAAAATTTTTTAGCATTCTCTTAGTTCCAATTTCAAAATGATAAATTCTTGTTTTTATTTATTTTTTTTTTAACAGAAAGTAACAGAAAAATTTATTGTTTCCACTTAAAAGTAAATTTAAAACAGATTTTCATTGAATAAAAATTATTATTTTTTATTGAAATATTTAATTAAAATTTTGTAGAGGTAATAATTGTTTGGAAATATTAGCATTTATAATTATTATAATGAGATGAGTCGGAGGAGATTCACTGAAAGTCGGGCAGTTTAAACTCTTTTAATCTGAAAGTAATTGCTAAAGTGTCAAACATTCCTTTGCCTGTACAACTAAATTAAAGGTTGCTTTGCTGCAAAATTCTCCACGTTAACGATCTGCGGGGGCGAAAACCAATGACAGTTCACTAACGACCGTGCCAAGAAGTCAACCAAACGGAAACTCTTGCATCCTGTTGCCATAGTTACCACAGTAGGATGCATCAAGATGGCTGAAATGGATAAATTTGCTTTACCTTTTGATATAGAGGAAATAGAATAACCTATTTAACTTATGCTGTTTCTTTTGCAAAAAAGTAAACGAGAAAAGTTCGACTTTTGCTTTTGAAACTTGGAAAGAAACGAACAGAATATAAACGATTGATAAATGATGAATTTGATTATTCGCTGAGGTATTATATTAATTTAAGCTAAAATTTATTTTCAGGATCAGGATTCCAGGATGATCACGAGAGTCGTTGGCGTCAAAATTGTATTTCTGTACGTAATAATGAAACTATCAAATTGATCATTAATAATTAAAATTTAAAACAAATTTTCTCTTTTACAGTTACATAGACGAATACAGATAAACATATTTTATGTAAATTAAACCTAATATTTCAAAAAGCTAAGTTTTTTTTTTTAATATTTATACACAAATACATACATATTAACATAAAAAATCTTTTTCTTTTAAATGTATATGTATTATATATATAATAAACATACATATATAATACATGTGTATGTATATATAGAAATAAACACACACATAACACATATGTATGTATATGTGTTAGACTTATAGGAACTAGTAATGCAAATTTTATCATTACAGTAAAACTTGTTCAAAACTAACCTTAATAAGACGGAAAACTATCTAAACGGGAAAAAATGTTCGGAACGCGACGATTTTCTATGTTAAAAGAAACCTGCCAAGCCGGAAAAAATATTCGGTACCTTGCGAGTCAGGTTTACACAGGTTTTGCTTTAATACCAATTTCATGAATACCGTTTTATATAGGCCTATATATATACAATATTTTAGTATCTTTCTCTAAAAATAAACTGTATGTTTATATTTATTATTTATTTATTTATATATAATCTAAATTAATTTTCATATAACTTATGTTTTGATAATTTTATTTTAGCTATTGAAAAATGTAGCAAACTAATTCTTACCTAAGTACTGGGTCTGATAATTATAAAACAGGCAAATTATATTTTTAGTCATTGTTAATTTTACATTAAAATGGTTTATGAATTTATTCGTGAAATACAGTATAGAAAACTCTCGAAAAATTTACGTAAATTCTATATACACACATTTCAGACAAGTTATATAGATTATATTGTTAATTTAACCAGAAATTGTTTATTAATTAAATAATTAATAATTTTATAATTCATTTAGTTTATCAATATGTACCCAATATTTCAAAATAGAGAATTATTAGCTTACAATAAACAAGTGATTTATCGAAATAGTTAACATTCCACTTTGCTTAAATTTCTTGAAATCTGAAAAAAATTAAATATTTTCTTTTGGGATAATAGTAAAGCGGGAAAATTTTGAGACGACTGAAAATCTTAAAGATAAATTAAAAGTTAAAAGAATTCTGATAAATTCTTTAATAGAGAAATTATTCATGTTAAATTTGTTTGGTTAAGATATAAGTGATTAGTATTACGTATTTTGTATATGTATATTTGTAAATTTTGAGATCAAATTCATCAAATAAGGCTTCATTTTCGAAAAATGGATGCTGGGTCTTGTTGCAAGGACAATGTGTGACTTCATTGTGAAGTAATGATTAACCAGTTTTTGGTAATATGTTTACAAAGCTAAACATTCTTTTTCGTTTATTCCATGATTTACTTTCAGTAAATTCACCAAAACACTTATCAGAATTGATATACAGTATATATAAATGGAGATGTTTGTTTGTTCGCTAGGCACACCTAGGTCGTTCGTCCAATTGCTACAAAACTCGGCATTTACGTTAACATATTTCTAACTTAGATAATGCCATAAACATCACCCCAGATATCAATTGGATTTCTATATATTAATTAGTTTCTCTCTACATTCGTTTTGCTGGGTTTACACGTAGCGCCATCTACTGGCAAAAATTTAAGAAAATAATAAACTAAATATAATTCATAAAATGGATATAATTTAAAANATATATCAATATATATAAATGGAGATGTTTGTTTGTTCGCTAGGAACACCTAGGTCGTTCGTCCAATTGCTACAAAACTCGGTATTTACGTTAACACATTTCTAACTTAGATAATGTCATAAATATCACCCCAAATATCAATTGGATTTCTATACTACATTCGTTTTGCTGGGTTTACACGTAGCGCCATCTACTGGCAAAAATTTAAGAAAATAATAAACTAAATATAATTCATAAAATGGATATAATTTAAAATACATATATATATATTATATTGACTTAATTACTGCTACAATGATATAGGGCGGATTAGACGCGCTATATCATTTCTGCGACAGGTAGCACAGCACTTGCCAGATCACCTTTCAAATGTTAATTAATAGTAGACCGGTATTAATTAATAGTGGTTGACCGTCCTCTCTTACGACAGCAGGTGAACGACTACTTTCGGTCGAATCACTTCGATTCCCTTCTGAAACAGTCCCGAATTTCTATCGGACCAGCAGTACGGAGGTATTCAAATAGGAAAAATACATAATACGAGGCTATCGGCCAACACAAAATATGATTTAAGTGGTTTCCAGGGTGCCGAGTTTAAATATCTGATCCGTTTTTGCGAAATTTTATTGGTTGGCAGATTACCGTTTGATATTCCCCTGTGAATGGTACAGTTTCTTAGAGTTAACATTAGAAAGAATTATAATATCGGAAAAATTTAACATATATTTTCAATTCCTGTCTACTTGACCATTGAAAGTGTGTCATTTCGTACCATCCGAGTATCGGTAATAAATGTAACAATGGCTGAAATAACCAAACTCTTTATATAGTTTTCGTTTTAATGTTTATTATATTATAGTATTTGATTTATATAACTACAAAGGTTATCTTACGTAAGAGTTTATCAAACCGAGTGACCAATCTAACTCATTTTAAAAATTCCTCATTCCTTTACTGTACAGAATTTAAAACTGAGTATTTAAATGTTACTGGATGTTAAATATGTTGTGATATTTTATTAAACAACTTTTTATTTAATTATT